ACTTCACATGCTTTCCCCATTAGCGTGTGGAAAGTCATAGAGGAAGGAAGTACGTTAGTTTCTCTCTTGATTTTCATATAGATTAAAATCTTTTAACTTGAAAAACTATATGGAACTGAAAACTACATTAAACATAGTTCTAAAGAAAAGTATCACGGAAATTTTAGAAAATATTTTTATTAAGTAAAAAGGAAAAATATTAAGAAAAGGGAAAATATCGTAGTACATTCCTATATAACTGAAAAGAGGAGGAGAGGGAAGGGAGAAGGGCTAAAGGCATGAAACCGGTCTCTCCCCAGATGGCGTATTCGAGTGTTGCGATCGCGAATATTTCTCAAATGGTTCATTATTTATTGACTTAAATAATTAAGTATATAATTAAATCAGCAATACATTGGTGGAAAGAAATTAACGTTTTGAAAATCTAAGCAATAAAATAATTTTCTAAGCAATAAACTAAGTAATAAATTCGAATAATATACAACTTGATCAAGTTGTCATGTAATACACAAAACAAAAATATGTAAAATACGTAGACAAGAAAGAATTACATTTCAATAAATTCGATGTGCGATACGGCACTTTATTTAATTTCACCATAATTAACTTTCTAACTTATATGGAGAAACTTAGGTCTTAGAGCCCCTGAATTAGAACATATTATAGGATCCTTAGAGAAACTTAGCTCAACTTCAACATGACGTCATAGGTCCCATGTGTGGGTATTGTGATCTTCTTCAAGTGCAAGTACCCAATTATCGAGTGTCCCGCAGTGGACTGATCGTTGAGACACGGTTCCCAGCAGATCACCGAAATCAAACATCACTAGCTACTGGTCAGTGTGCGAGTGGGTGACCACTTGGATCAGTCTGCGTAGGGACCGAAGGTGTGCGGTATTGGTCCTCGTTAAACTGTTCTGCAGTAAATTGCTCGATTTCCCGTGCAGGTCGTTGGGCTACCGAAGTGGGGGTGCCATCCCCTCTGCAGAGGATAAAAATTGAGATGGCATGTCTTCGGATCATCCTCAGGGATGTTTCCCAGACCGTCGCCAATAGCCCATTGTACAGCTCTAGTGCGACGTAAATGAACTACAGCTATAACAATAAAAGGTGTGAGGTCATTTTTGTAATCAAGAGGAGCTATAGGCGATCGAAATGTGCAGCAGATGGCGTAGAGCTGAACTCTCTACCTATGGCAACACTTCTAATGCGTTCCCCATTAGCGTGTGGAAAGTTCCAGAGGAAGGAAGTATGCTAGTTTCTCTCTTGATTTTCATATAGATTAAAATCTTTTAAGTTGGAAAGCTATACGGAACTGAAAACTACATTAAACATAGCTCTAAAGAAAAGTATCACGGAAATTAAAAAAAAATATTTTTATTAAATAAAAAGGAAAAATATTAAGAAAAGGGAAAATATCGTAGTACATTCCCATGCAACTGAAAAGAGGAGGAGAGGGAAGGGAGAAGGGCTAAAGGCATGAAACCAGTCTCTCCCCAATCGCTATCAGGGAGAGATGAGAACCTAATTGGTGTAATATATTCTGGCATAAAAAACTCACCAATCGGATTCTCTTACTCAATGGCGTTACGAGGCGTGCGTATTGCATACAGTAAAAACGGTTCCAGAGTTGTTTTTAGAATTTAACCCATTGTTCTTATACTGCATATCGTTAGGCGAAAGGGCAACTCTCTTTTGTCATGGAGGTCTTTTTTATTTCTTTCTCTTTTATCTGATTTTGATATTGCCAGTTTCCAATAATTAGGAATTGAGAAAATAAATAAGAGAATTCAAATTGAGTATTACTCATCAGTTAATAATGTTAGTTAATGATTGGCTATTTGGAACACTATAATAATATTATATTTTAGAGATTTTAATATTTAGTTCATTATTTTTTCATTTTCAAAAGTATTCGGCAGTGACATCTGGTACCGTATTTGTTCTTCGACTGTCATCTGGCTTCCTGCTGTCGTAATGGAGTTGCGTATTATATTGAGATTGGGCTTCTCACACACACACACACATGGTCGCCATTTTCGTGCTGAATAGTGGTGCTTGTGTTTGTTGATACTTTTAATAAGTCGGTGGATAATTACAGACCTAACATTTTTTTAAAATTTCAGTGATCTCACTATGATCAACTACATATGTTGCTTCACGATAATTATATATTTTGCCGTGTCAAACTAAAAGCGGTGGTGGAATTCCACTGTATAGTGAAGTGTATCAATAACATACTTTACTTTAAATATTTTTTTGTCATGGCTGAAAGTGACAAAACGTTAAAAAAAGATATTAATTTTAGTAATGATAATCGGAAATCTAGTGCACCTAATATTATACCCATTACATCGGGAACTGTACATAATGAAAAAAACACAATGCCGAATACTGCTGTCAGTGAACCATCAACGTTAAAAAGAAAACAAACTTCTTTTCAAATAACTAGTGTTACTGTTAAAGGCTCTCGTCTAAGTACTGATGGTGGTGAAGATAGTGCAGATGATTTAGATGAGAGTCATACAGAAGATACAAGTTCAGATATTTTGGACAGCTCAAGAACGACTGATTTAGATAATGATCAATTTTCCCAAGATAACAGTAACACTATCCACAACGACGATCTGTCAACACAAGCTCCATCCATTCCTATAGAAAGTAAGAAAAACTTGCCTATAAAAAAATGTGCACAAGATAATACTTTATTTCCATCCGAACCATCCCAAATTGACAAATTGGATATAACATCTGATAATACTCCAGATGTTAAACCTCCTACACTTCCAGACCAGTGGCAACATAGATTTCGTGTTGTTAAAATTGTCAGCAGTGTTCCATTCAAAAGGGGTCGATGGTTATGTATGGATTTCATGGATCCTCCAGTTCCTGCTGTAGAGGCGAAACCTGAATCTATTGATGTCTCGATTGGCTCTAGTATCTTACCTGGAGAATCTATTCCAACTGATAGAGTGGCTCATGTGTATGAAATACCACCTGGAGATGCTTATCCTGGCACATTGTCTATGGCTGTTCGTCCGGATGAAAGGTTGCAGCCAATGTATGGTATATTTTGGCCAATTAGTAATGGTCAGTATCCATTTATGACAGGTGTCAATTCAAAACCTGTTGCTTCTCCACTTCATGCCGAAACTAAAACTCACGAGTCTTCCCAATCTTTGACTCCTGCACAAGGTATCCAACATCAACAAAATATACCTCCAACTCAAACATCAATTTCTCCTCAAGTTGTCCAACAACAAAACTTAAGTATTCCAAATGCAATTCCTACTCAAGGAGGTCAACATCAACAAAATATTAGCACCCAGTCTACTGTATCAACTCTAGGATTTCAGCATCAGCAAAATATGTCTAACACCCAATCTGTTTCTACACCAGGAATTCAGCATCAACAAAATGTTTCTAATACTCAGTCTGCTGTTTCCAGTCAAGGAATTCAACATCAACAAAGTTTGCCTGGTGTTCAAACGCCAGTATCTAATCTAGGAATTATTCAACCTGTTTCTAGTACTCAGTCTCCAGTTACATCGCAAGGAATGCAACAAACTATCTCAAATACGCAGTCTACAGTATCAACTCAATGTAATCCGCTTACATCTAGTTCTCAGTCTTCTACTCAAGTAATACAGCACCCTTATAATAATGCACAAACTGTTATTTCAAGTCAAGGAATTCCATCTACTTCTAATATTCAGTCTGCTACTCCAGGAGTTCAACAAAATGTGTCTGGTACTCAGTCTGTTGTTTCTAACCAAGGAGTTCAACAAAATGCATCAGTAGTTCAGTCTTCAAATTCTGCTTTAGGAATTCAACCAAATTTGCCTGTTTCTCAAACACCAACAACTCAGATTCAAAATATTCCGAGTATACAGCAAACAGTTCCTTCTCAAGGAATTCAACATCAGCAAAATGTTAATGTTATGCATACTTCTGTTTCGTCTCAACATCAAAATGTTTCCAGTATTCAGTCGACAGTAGCTCAAGGAATTCACCAGACCTCCAGTGTTCCTGTATCAAGTCAAGGTATTCAACAGCAGTCAATATCAAACACGCAAGCTACATCAGTTGAATATATTAAACCAACTGGTCAAGCAAATATTGGAGCGCAAAATATTTCAAATCAAATTCAGGATATGTCTTCTCAGTCTGTTTTACTTGGACACTCTAGTTCTCCTCCTCAATCTCAGTCACCTGTACAAGTTGTACAAAATGTTGCGGGACAACAACAAACAGTAACTAGTGAATCTATTCCACTCGTAAAGCCAGTATCTATTTTACAGACGCAAGAATCTCAACCATCTATGCAACCACAGATGCAAATTTTAGGCTCCTCACAAAGTCAAACTATGTCAGCAGCACCAACTATGCAAGTTAATATTGAAACTGTAACACAACCAGTAGTTACTTCCTCTATTCAAGTTAATGACATTTCACAAGTAGTGTTAACTCAAGAGTCTGTTGTACAGCCCTCAGTTCAGTTAACATTGACTACTTCAACTATTGGAAGTCAGGCACTACCTACTGCTACCACTCCAGAAGTAATGTTAGTTTCAAATTCTAAACCTCAAGAAATAGTTGTTCCTAGTCAAATTATTCAAAATCACGTTGAGGCAAAAGAGCTCGGAACACCACCTTCTACGAATGTTCAAATTTTGCAAGATATTTCACAAGAAACTCAATCAGCAAAAAGTGATGTAAATGGTGAAGAAACAGAAAGGTATTTTTTTGAATTATTTCACTAATTTCTATTTATTTATTAAAATTAAACAGCATTTTTTGTGTAAATAAAATCTTCTAATATTTATATTCTTTCAGTACCATTTCTTGTCGTAAAACTATTTTAAACACTAAGTTTTTTTGTTAAGCTTTTTTTTTTTCTAATTTTATTTTTGATTATTGTTTACACAATAAATTGAGTTGAATGTTATTTATTTGATTGATATTTAATTTAATCAAAGGATGCTACCAGGGTTATAAAAAAGTGGTTTCTTTGTCAAACTCAACCCAATTGGGTTTTTCTGTTTATAGGAAAAAGCAGGAAAAGATTCCTCTATTTCCTAAAAAATTAAAAAAGCTGGTAATTATATTTATATTAAGTTATATTTGTGAGGGTGATTTATTTTTTTTTGTAACTGTTCATGCTAACTACTTTTGCTGAAGTTCCAAAGGATTTTTCAATTTGCAGAAATATATATTTATAAATATATGTAACGGTTTGCCCAGGAATACCATGAATTATGGCGTTCAAGTTAGTCCTTTTCCGTGATGTTTTTTTTTTCTCCCATGGTAATGTTCGATTATAAGGTCCGGTTTTTTTTAGACTATAATTATGCCAGTACATGGTCCAAAATATTTGACAAATAGCTTTCGGCAAGCTATTACACTCTTATAAAATTTTATTGCAAGTACAAAAACTCAGTTTCAGTTGGATCAAACAATTAGAGGTATGGAAATATTTATTTTAGACTAAAAAATAATACAGTTAAACATTTTGAAGTGACTACTTCAACCTTTGAAGCACTCCCATTCTGTAATGGAATCTGAAATTTTCAATAGGATTTATGTTAGGATGAACCTCTGAACTATGATTTCTGGACAACGACCATCAGTTTCTCTTGTGAATTTTATTTATCAATGTATCTTTAAGTAATTTTTTTCACTTGTCACCTGTTAATTCCTATGATTTCAAATGGAGAAGATTTCCGTATCATGATATAGGGCAGGATAATTGCCAAGTCTTGGCAAATTCCGGGCAGCGGATCATGAGTAACTAACAAAAAATCACACAAAGAGACCAACTTGAAGGGTATAACTTAAGTCAATCCTTGGCAAACCTGTACATATTTCTTTTTAAAAGCAATTTTCAGTTTAAAATCAATTTGGCGCCTTGGTGATTGTAGTTGGCGTAACAGATCACATTACGGAAATATCCCCTTCAAGTGAACGTATCATATTTTATTATTTTGTTAATATTTATAAAAATAAGCTGTTTTTAACTATTTAAGAAACACTACAATAAGAACTTTGTTGAAGATGAGTTAGTAGATGATGTTGGAAAAGAAGTTACCAAATTTGATAGTTACTTTAGCATAAAAACGTTATTTGACAATTGTTGTGACATTTAGATTTTTGTTCACAGTAATAACAATGAAGAACTGTACCCAGAAACTATTCATATAGTACTGAGCACAAGGATTTGTTTCAATTGGAGATGAACAAAACAATCTTTACGACTTCAAAAGTTTACTACCAGAAACTTCTAGAAAATGCAGCTATTTCCTAGCACTCAATTATGGCTGAAATAAGTCTAGTAAACAGCATAACATAGGCTATCCTATAAACCTATGTAGCATTCCTGTCTATATAGGTTTGGCGAGGAAACCTAGAAACTTTTGACATGATTTTAGACAATTCTTGTAGATGTAGAACTCTATAATTATCTCTTTGAAACTCAGAATTTTCAAGAACTATTATTTTGATGCAAAAATGGTCGCTAAGATTATCAATAGTCCACAAATATGTCTCCAAACAATAGAACACCGAGGTCAAGCATCACTGGCTGCAGTCAGTAAGCGAGTGATTGACCACTTTGATCAGCCTGGCTAAAGACGAGGGTGTGCGGTATCAGTCCCCATTAAATTGTTATGTCATAAAGTGCTCAACTTCGCACGCAGGTCGTCAAGTTACCAAAGCAAGATATCAAAATTGTGATGGGACGTCTCCCTGACTGTCATCAATAGCCCAATGTGCAGCTCTAGTGCAATGTAAATAAAGTAACTACCTGCCATAAAGTATGCATTAAATGTCATTTTTCTATATTTATTACGTTACAATTATGAGACTTTCTTGCAAATTTTCTAATTAAGCAATCTATTTAGGGTTCATCTGAGATATTTAACCTCATCCTCATAAAAAAAGAATGTTCACAAAATTATTGTGCATATAATTATTATGAAATTTGTAGGAATATCATAAAGAATCTGGAGAACACAATTTATTTCAGAAAGAAAAGAAAACAAATTGCTTATTTTTCCTTTTTTTTTTTTTTTTTTTTTTTTTTTTTTTTTTTTTTTTNTTTTTTTTTTTTTTTTGTTCATACTAAGATAGTAAGCAGTGGATAAGTTAACTAAACATTTTTGTTCTATGATACTGTTCGGAATTTCTAGTGAAAAATACAAGGATATAAATATCCTATTTCGCTGAAAAAACATTGGAAAAATATGTAATTTATCCAAAAATCTAAACCAAAATTTTATTAAAGCTTGAGCTGAAATTAATCTTTGGTTTAGTAAAAATGAATTATTTTAAATAAAATATTTTTATATTTTTAATAATTTTTTAGGTGGTTATTCTCTTTATGTCACCATTCTAAAACTTTATATTCTTTATAAAACATTTTTCTTGTCAAATTTTTACCTCTTAAAAAACTTAATTTCATTATCTTTAATAATAATAGATTTTAAGTTTTTATGTCTGAATTTGTAAATTAGATTATTACTTTTGGTTTGATGCTTAGTTCTGTTGCCCTTTTGCCCTCTCCCCTTCTAAACTAATCACTGGTTTTGAGTATTCTTCATTTTAACATAATTGATTATTAAAATTTGTTTTTTATTTGAATACCAGAGGGGAAGAACGGTATATTCATGAATGCTGATTCAGAGAAAATACAAATTCAGAGATTTCAGCTTCAGAAGCATTTTTTCCTAGTGGTAGCAAGCAGAGAGAGGTGCAAAAAATTTTCAGAGCCTAATTTTTCCCCAACACATAGGTTTGTCACTTTAAAATTTCCCCGATAAATTATAACCCTTTCTTTTTAGATACAATAATTTTTCAAAATATTTTTCGAAAGTAAAATCTGTATTTTGTTAAAGTTTCTAATAATATTTCTTTAACATTAATTAAAACTAAACATTAACTGAACTAACTTGATGTGTTGAAAGTAATAGAAATCAAAAAACACATATATTATTAAAATAGCAATATAATTTTTGAAATAAAATTTTATGATTCAATAATTTTATATTATATATGTTTTCACTTAAGTGAATTAAAGTTAAAGTGATTAGTATAGAAAGGGACTTCAAACTGTCATATAAAGTTATTTGTGTTAGATTTAAAATAATGAAAAATATTCCTTTTCTTTTTAGATAGTAAGTTGGTAGGAGATTAAGAATAAAATATTTTGTAGCATTTTTTTTAAAAAAGCTTATTTTCGGATAGAAGAATCTTTAGTTCTTAAGTTTTAATAATTATGTTTTTAAAATATCTCTTTCAAAAAATTCTGCTTTAGTTCACTACCACTAAGAAAAATAATTCAAAACTACATAGAATCTGTAGTAGTTGGAATCTCTTGCCTACGGACAGGAAGGGTTTTTTATCCATCACGGTACAACCTATTTTCAAGTTATTCACATGTCAATTCAGTATTTGATTTACAGTTATGCTTAGTATTTGTTAATTTAATAATTAATTCTGATGATACAATTTTTGCCTTTAAAAATTTTTTTTTAAGCAAAAAATTCTTCTCTTATTTTGGTAATGAGTGAGAATTACATTTTGAAATCTGCACATGAGATAATATGAGAGGGTAATTTAAAAATGGTTGAGGATCAAATTACAGAGCTCATTCTAGGCAGAGTAAACAGGGCAGGTCGCAGCACCCTGCTGCCCTTTTAGTCAAAAGAATCCACCCTGTTGCCCCTGAAGTAAATTAGTGCCCTGATGTAATAGACTCCATACTCTTTCTTTCCTCAACCCTTCTTTATTTTTTCCCCAAACTCTACAATGGATTTTCAACTTTTTTTATTTAGTTTGTCATTACTGTCAATACATAGATTTATATAGGAAAGGAAAAATAGCCATCACACCCCCTTGTTGCACTTGTCTTTGAAAGTTTGCAGTTACTTCCACTATCATTAAATCATAATTATTATTAATTATTAAATCATAACTACAGAGACTAAAAACATACATTTATTATTTTATTAATATATGCATGCATTTTAAATAAATTACTAAGCTAATTAGCTCATAAACTCAATTTATATGTTAATTTATTACTCAAAATTAGTAATTAATATGATTGCTCTACTACTTTCAGTAAAATAAAAAAAAAATAGAAAATTTCTTTTACTAATTGACAATGTTTTTTAATAGAACGTGTAAAGCCCCTTAGAAAGAAATTATTGCCTTTTTAGAATAATAATGCCCCTTTTTCAAACTTTTGCACCCAGCCCTTTTTTCTGCCTAGAATGAGCTCTGCAAATTAATTTATTACATAATATTAGAAGTTTTGATGCATTTTTATGGTGTTAAGTGAGGGACCTTGCAAAACTCTTTAACTATCCTTTTACATGACGAAGCACCCTGCTCTTTTTTATTCCTAGTGAGAACTCTACATTTATCATTAATTATATGTTTGTGTAAGTTTCAGGATCAACTCCATGACTGAAATCAAAATATTTAATTTTAGGTTCAATTTGTCTAGAGAAAAAAATTCTTAATAATAAATAAATATTCAATGATAAAAGTAAAAATGATTTTAAGAAACATTAATATTTTTAAAAAAAAATTTTAATACTGTAGTTTCTGACTAGTATCTTAAATTGGATTGTAAGAAATCTTTGTTTACGATCATATCTCTATTTGGTAATCAGTAGACTTTGAACAGTCTTAAGTGAAGCTTAGTAAATCAACAATGGCTGCTTCTCATGGAAAAGTTTATCAACGGTGTTAATTTATTTTGTTAGTCATAATTAAGTTTTTTAATGTTATAAATAAATTTATTAATTATTATATATTTTTCAGTGTACCCAGTGGAACCAGTACTGTTGCTATTGACAACAAAATAGAGCAAGCAATGGTGAGTCCCATATTTTTATATTAGCTACTATTTTGAAGTATAAGTGCTGCTTATCTTGTTGTTATGTTATCATTTTTTTTAGAAAAACTAACTGTATTTTTGGTTTCTGTTATAAACCAATGTTTAAAAATTGGTATAACTAAGACTTGTAAAACTATCTCAAGGAATAGTTAAGCAGATTTAACTAAGAGTCTAAAAAAATTTTGGATTAAGTTCAATATCAAAACATTATTTGAATTTTCATTAAAACGTCTATAATTTATATTTTGTATTTTCATTGAGTCTTTAAAACTAAAGTTGGTTAAATTTTTTAAAGGTTGGATTATTTTCTACTCACACTGCCACAGTTTAAAATGAATAGAAAATTGTTAAAAATATTAATAGTAAATTCTTAATCAGTTTTTTTTTTTTTTTAAATTTATATAATAAATCATGCTTAAATCTAATTTATTATTGTCCTCATATAATAAGTCATTTTATTTATGATGTTTTACTTTATGCAAGGATATGACCACTCTTCTAATAAAACTTTATCAAAGTCCTATTTTTATCTTCTAAATTTATCGTTATAACATTTTAACATAAAAATTTATCGTTTATTCCCATATGAATCTAATCTCAGGTTATATTTAATTAAGAAAATAACCTGTCTTATTTTAAATTTTTAACAAACAGGCCATATTGTAGTTAACAATTCAACAACAAATGTTTATTATGTGCTATTTTTATTTCAATAAATAAAACATGAAGATAGGGGTGCACAACCTTTTTGAGTGAAGGGCAACATGCACAGGAGATTGACCAATGAAGGGCTGCATGCTAGAGTATTTAGACATATTGACAGTAATTGTAGGTAGTAATTGTTCTAGGCACTAAATTATTTTTGTCACTTATCTTTGTAATATCTTGCATAAAATTAAATACTTTTAAATGTTTAAAATTAGAAACTTCAAAACTGATTACTTAAAAAAAAATTAAAAAGAAAGAAAGCATTAATTTTGAAGGAACTATTTTCCTTTATAATAAAAAACAATTAAGATACTTGTTTACAATTTTTGTGACGAATATTTTTTTAACATGACACATGCTATTTACAATTAATACACACATATTCATATATTAACAATCAATAAAATTTACATTACTCTATGAAATTTATTTTAATTTAATTCCTAATGGTTATCCTTTAATTTGCAAAAGTTTTAAATATTGTGATAGTTTTATGCACTTGATCATGAGATAACTTTTTCGAGCCATTAAATTAGAATCGAATGATTTTGTTTAAATACTGATCTGTAATATTGAATCTGCAAAACTCATTCTGGAAAATAGTCTTCTGACAAGCTGTTGTTGTGGGTAGTATTAAACTTAGGGCAATAACATAAGCAGCTTTGGAATTTGTCCTAGATGGTCTTCTTCCTTTCCGGATTTTTAAATCACATGAATACAAATAGCAATGTGTAATTTTTGAATTGGCTTGAATACGAATTGCTATGTGTGATTTTTAAATTACGTAAATAAAAAACGCGATGCATGGTTTTCAAATAGCGTGAATACAATTCGAGATGTGTGATCTTTAAATTGCGAAACTACTCACAACGCATGATTTTTCAAATGTATGAATATGAATCGTGAGAAGAGTAACGTTTGATATTCTAAGTGTCAGAATCTGAATCGCGATATGTGATTTAAAACCTCTTGAATCCGAATCGCGATGGGTGATTCTTAAGTCTCTATTATGTTAGTACGAAATGTGATGCGCAATTTTACGATCACGTAAATAGGAATTACGATGTTTGAATTTTAAATTACGAGAGGAATTAAAACATAAAAATTTTAAAATCCGTAAATACGAATCCCAACATGTGATTTTTTGAATCATGTGATAACAAAAAGAATAGGTTGGGTGTGTGCTGTATAACTTGCACATGTTCATGGGACTAAAGAAATATGCACGTGTTTTGAATTATTTTTTTTGCAAAAGGGATGAGTTTAATATAGATGTACACATCTCGAGTTTTTTTTCCCCCGTTTTTTTTTTTTTTCATTCTCTTCAGGAAGGTGTCGATTTTGCTAAGATAAGTAATTATTTTTTAAGTTACAAAATTTTTTTCAAACAGAATCGAATTTCACGAGTTGTAATATTGTGTTAAATTATCGGGATATTCTAAATCACATGGCGCAATGACGGTGGGGAGAAACATGTTCGAAAAAACTATTATATTTATGTTCAAATCGGCCAAATAAAACATGTAAAGGTTAATTATTTTAGTGCGTGATTCAAAACTTGCGTGCGTTCAAATTATAGTATTAAAAATATTAGATTTTTTTAAAATCACAGGGGAAAGAGTAGTAATAACTACCAAAAAAATTATCAAAATCCCTTCATATTTACGATAAATTCGTTTACAGAAAGCGCATCAAAATTTTATATATTTAAATGCTGGATCCGAAGTTAAAGTATAGCAATAGCGTATATAAAATATTAGGACTTTCAAAACCTTTTGGAAATGTGTAGCAATAGTTAAAAAAATAACGAAAAAATAATTTAATTTGCGATAAAATTGATACAAATAAACCACGTCAAAAATTGTTTATATTAATGAGTGATTCTTTACTCACAATTTGTAATAATATCGTGCTAAAATATTGAAATTTTAAATACCATGTGGAAATACATAGCTATAACTGCCGAAAAAATGATCAAATGTCATTTAGATTTTCCATAAAGTTAGCACAAAAAAACCTTTTCATAACTTCCAAAAATTGTGATTTCATAAACTACATAAAAATGAATATTAATAACTACCAAAAAGTCACTGGATTTACGATGAAATCAGCACACACGAAGAGTGTTAAAAGTGATAACTAAATTCGAAATTCGCCTATTGTAATAATGTTGTATTGAAAATATTGGAATTTTCAAAACTATGCTTAAGTCTGTAGCGTTAAGCATCGAAAAAAGAGATTAAAAAAACTACATTGATTGAAATTGGGTGCATCAAAAACTTAAATGCGAAAATTTCAAATTTACGGATTTTTTTTATTTTTCAAAAAGAAAATTGAAATTTTTTTTTCATTTGCGTCAGATTGCGTCCGCAGGACACACATCAAAGGTTAGTGGGCCACAGGTTGTGCACCCCTAAACACTTTTATTTTATATTGAGTACTTAAATATTTTAATTCTGATTTGAACTTGTTCTAATTGAACACATTAATGTCCAGGTCAATATTTTTGATTTTTTTTTCTTATGTTTTGAACACTGATGTTTGAATTTCATAAAAATCAACTGAAAATTAGTTCTGTCTGAAAACTTCTTGTTTTTGGATGAAAAAGTGAAAAATTTATTAAATATTGAACTGTCCTGAAAAATACTGTAGAAAAATAATAAAATAAGAAATTGTAAAAAAAAGTATTAAGTAGCAAATAAGTTAATTGATGAAATATGAAACAAAAATAACATTTTCTTTTTCATATTACACATAACTATCTCCAAGTTACATTTAAAAAAAAAAAAAAAAAAAAAAACTTTATTATCAAATGAAAACTACATTATTAACTAAATACATTCAGCTATTGATGACAGTTAAAATAGAGATGGGTCTTATGCTTTTTGCCAAAGAGGTTCACATTAATTAATTCCAGAGGTCCCTCAGGTACTATATTTGCTAGATAATTTAATAAATATTCAAAGGAGAAATTCATAAAGGAGATAATAGGTTCAGAGTAAGTTAAGTTTCGATTTTTAGCGCGTTAGTATTTTATTTTATGTGTTTTCATTTTTGTTATTGCTTGAAATAGACAAATTATTGTACTAAAATATCAAATAAATCCATAGTAATGGAGTGCAAAAAAAAAGCAATTATAAATAAATAAAATTAAGTAAAGATACAAAGGAAGTTAGAATTTTAAAGTATCCCTCAAATGTTGATCTGACACGCATGCTTTTGTTTTCAATTTTGTATTAACCAAATTACTCTTTTAATGTTTTATTACTTGGTCTAAATAAAGCACTAAAATGGTCTAATTAATTCATCCTTTTATTACCATCAGCCACACATTTTGCTCTACCAAATATCTGAAATAATTTTCATTCTTCTGTTTTCAATATTTTTTTAGTGAACTATTGTTTCAACCTGAATAAGATAATTCAATCGGGCTCTAGAATTTCATTGCCTATATGTAGTGTTTCTAATACAGTCAGACCTCGATATAAGGTCACCCCGCATATAAGGTCACTTTTCCAAAGTCTCGACTCACTGAATAGGAATTCTTTGTTACGGATTATCGGATATATGGTCAAGTTTTAAAAATCAGTATCTCTTATAAGGTCATTTTTATCTGAGGCGAGGGGAACTCTTTTCTAACAAAACCTATTTAACTTCCTTACAAGGCTATTGCCCCTATCGAGTTCTAGGAAAATGTCGCAGCCAACGAACAAGCTACAATTTCTGAAATTGTTTCACAAGTTGAGAACAGTGACAGTGATCCTGAGACTGTAGCTGTAACCCAAGTGGAAGCCTTCAATGAAATAAATGTCATACGAAATTTTTTTTACAAACCACTGGGGAACATTTTGAGAAGTTACAAAATCTAGAAAACATAGTTCGAGAAATGAAATCAAAAGCGAGACACACGTGCATAAATTATTATTTTAAATTAGGTAAGATGTAATGTATGTATGTACATACATTTTGAGGAAATATGTAAACAGCTTTATTTTAAATTAAGATTTTTTTTAAAAATCTAACCTTCTTTAATTCTTTATTAATTCTGTTAAAATTTATTGACTCAAATATTTAATTTATGACCAATTGTTTTCGTTTGTATTATTATTTTAAAAAAAAACATAATGTGTACTATTTATGTGCTTAGTTACGAACTACTAATAAATCGGTTAAAAGGTCACCCTGCTTATAAGGTCACTTTTGCGATGTCCATTAGGGTGACCTTATATCGAGCTCTGACTGTACTTCCTGTTACCTTATTTATTCCAATTACCTCTTAGCAGTATTTTCAGAAGCGTGTCATTTTGGCTGTGGAATTAAACTTTTGTATTAATGGTAATTTGTCCTTATTGTCACATTTTAGAAAACCATGTTCAAAATCATTAGAAATTGACATTTGTGCCTATGTAGCATTTATTTACATGGTCATATAATCATTAACATTTTCAACAAATATTTTTAACAAAACTGGTTAATAATTATCAATTGTAAGATTTGAAAGTTAACATTTAGATAGTGCATCTCATATTAAATAATGTCCTGTGATACTTGGACATTTATATAACAAAAGCTGGCTGGCAAAACAGAAACTTCAAGATCTCTAGCAGTGTTTTCATCATAGAAAAAAAATGGGTGAGAATTTCTCACCGTTTCTCAAAAACAGGGTGAGATTTCAAAAAGTTAAGTGAGATTTCTAAAAAAAACACAAACTCTTGAAAAAAAATCATTTCTTTAATTATAATACATTTTTAACGTCTTCTATTTTTTAAAGCATTGAATATTTTTGGTGCATCATCATAGAAAATTTTGCCTTTACAAGGTATTTGCCCATCTTACATAAGTGCATAAAAAATTTGAACGTCTTACATGAAGAAACCTTACCTACGGTAAACACGTGGTTGCAGAAAAATGTGTTCTGAAAGGGGTTCCATGGTTGTGTTCTATTGTTCGAAAAGTTTCTGAACAATACTGGTAAATAGAGAAGCTAGATAACGGGGCAGATGTTGAAAATTATGAAAGAACCAGGAAGAAAAGTGAAATGGATTTTATTCTAAATGGCGTAATTCGAAGCTTTTTCCAAATTGCGAGAAATTTGCGAATTTTAAAATTTATTTATGCGAATTTCTCGCGGTAATCATTTTTTAATGCGAGAAAAGAAAAAATATGTGAGGTTCTCGCGCTGTAGTGAAAACACTGTCTAGACTGGTAGACTTTTATTAAATCTTAACTTGTTTTTATTTTGCATTCTGATATTTCATGCTGTTTCCTTACTTCATGGGTTAGTGTAGTGTATGCCCTCCTCATGCATTTCAATGAATGTATTAAGTGTTACTGCTGCAATTAAAAAAAAAAAAGAAAGCAATTAAACTTTAAGTAATAGGTTGGGACAAAATTATATTGTTCTTTTACTTTAATAAGCAGGGAACTACAAAAGTTCCAAAAAGAGAAATTCACCAATCTGGTTCAGTATTTAGAAACAGGCATTTTATCGAATGGGAAGCCTTGTAACTGCTTTTCGCTTTTATAAAATTGCATAAATGCATAATATTATTTTTAAAATCTGAAAATAAAGGGGATAATAAAAAATAACCAGAATGCAATAAAATTAAATCTACGTTATCTAAAGATGGAACTTAGTGCTGAGATATAAAGACATCCAAGTTGATTGAAAAACTGAATTTTACAATATTTTGGTTGGATGTAATGTTGAAAAGAAATTTTTTTCTCTAAAATATTCAGATTTTTAGTTTTTTTCTTTTCAGGTTAAATTTTATTAAAGTTTGGGCATGAGCTTCGATTTTTAGCACTAGATGGGGTGCCTGAAGATAAGCCTAGTTAATGCTAAATTTTGCATGTTATTCTCTCTTCAATAATGAAAAATATATATATGATTCCAGTCTTTAATATGAAAAATGTCTGATTGAGATCAATTGTGTTTTTGCCATTCTTACTATCTTACAATTGTTTTTAATTTTGCAGGATTTGGTGAAGAGTCATTTGATGTTTGCTGTCAGAGAAGAGGTAGATGTCTTAAAGGAAAAGATTACTGAATTAATGGATAGAATATCTCAATTAGAATATGAAAATGGATTCCTGAGAGCAAATGCTAGCCAACAAACTCTTGAGCAATTAAATCATTCTCAACTTCTTCAACAGCAGCAGCAACAACAACAACAAAATATTTCTTCTACTGTGTCGTTGAACTCTGTGTCGCAGATATCTCAACAGCCTCTGCAATCCCATCAATTAAATATTCAAGATCAACAGCCAACATCATAACAAAAGCTTTCTTTATTAATGCTCCAATTATATAAAATTATTTTTGGTAGTTTTGCATTATGGTCAGCTTTTAGAATAATTAACGTATTGTATATAGGGTCTTAGTTATACGTATTTAATATATATATATCTATATATATATATTCTGTTTTGTAATATATGTAGGATTTTAAAAGAAATTCTGGTTTCAGATATCAGTAGCTTTACTTTGTTTGAATAACCAGACATCATTTGCTTCTAAAGCTTTTAATTTCATATTGCTTTAATGTCATGTATATGCTTTCATTCATTTTAAATTGATTGTGAAATCGAATTAGCTTCTTTTTCTTTTTAACCGTTTGATTCAAATTTATAAAATAAACTAAAAACTATCATTAGTAATCATTTTAAATTCTTCTATCTTTCCATCTAGACATTACTACAGCTATGCAACTTTGTCCTATTTTTATTTAAAGCTTTTTTTTTCTGTAGCATGAATTTAGGTGAAACAAATTTAAATTGGTTCCAATAGTCTGCAACAAAAATGCAAAGCTTTGGAGGCTATTTTTTTTATCATAATATTTTATTATAAAATACATGTTAGTGTAAAGAAATTATGTAGTAATTTTTTCTCATTATTTATAGAATTTCTTTATTTCTAAGGGGATTTCATTAAACATTTTAGTTATAAAAAAAACATTTCTCCTTCTACTATTAGCTCATTCTTAATTTTCAGAAATAGTTGTACATTATTCATTGCAGGCTGTTCAATGTAATATTTATTTCAATCAGTATTAATTATTGTTGGGTTAAATATGCTTATAGTGTATGCTGGTCTTACACATGGTATTTTTTTTGAATAAGAGGGAAAAAAAAAATTCATTCCTTAAGTGTGAACGAACAATGTGCCACAATTTATGTCTGTGTCATGTCTGTGAGAGAATGTATGTGTTGAAAAGAAGTGTCGCTGCAGTTGGACCAATGCAAGCTGTACAGAAAAATAAAATTTTTTTTGTATTTCTTGGAATAATCACTATGTGAACTAAAGGAGTTCATTCACTCCTGTCAGAGTGTTATTGAATTCTTTGAAAAATGATCTGCTGAGGAACTTTTTCTCACCTTTTCTGTGGAGAAGAAAACAAAAAACAGTTCTCTCTCAAACAAGCCTTATAGGTTAAAAAAAATGTGATAAAATTAATTACTGTAGAGGTTGTGGTATTGTATATTGTTACCTTAAAATGCCAAGGGAAATTCAACAGCAACCCACATAAAGAATGTGATAAGTGTATTAAATATAAAAATATACCCATTTTTTTTTTCTTTCAGTTTTCCCACCACTTTCTCCTTTTTTCTATGGTTTTATACTAAGTCACTTAAAATAGAACATTCCGTACTCCTTACGTTGGTGCTGTATATATAATTTTTTTTTCGGTGCACTTGTGTTTCTTGACCTGTTAGGTGCTATTGTGATCATGAGTTTTACCGTTCCTAAATCACAAGTATTTCTTACTGTGATGTATCATATGTAGCTCATGCTTTCTGTAGAATTGACAATTGAAAGGGCTTATGTATATTAGTATGTAAATTTAAATTGCATTGGGGCAAAGGAGATGGGCCACATCTTAAAATGTAGAAAAATAAATGTGTATAATAGTTAAGTGATGGACAAATAGTATGAAATCCCTGTTAATGGAACTCCTCTGCTTCAATGCTTGAATTTGCCACCATTTCTTTCTATTACAGTGTGATATAGTCATCAGCTTGTATAATAAAGTTCTATAATTCTGACTTTTTGTTTTTTACTTTTTCAGGGAAAAAAACTTTATTTTATTGAAATCTTTATTTGACCATATCTAAATGTCTAAAATTATTATTTTTGCATTAAATTACATTATTAACTCTTTGTAAATTGAATATCTAAGTTAAATGCGTACATTTTTTTACCTACTATTTTTTTTTTCCAACTAGCATAATAAAGCAATTTGTACTGAAGCATATAACTTGGTTGAATTATAATAAAAATGATTAAATATGCTTTGTGATTTAAAATTAGTATATTTCATGATTCTCAGCTCTATTATTTGAATTTTTATGTGTCTACTTTTTACTAATGTTATTAGTGTGTCTACAAATTAGATATTTAAAAGAATATCATAAAAAAAAGCTCAAATATAACGGGAAGAGTTCATTCATGACCAAATAATTCTTGAAGAAAATTAATTTACCACATCTTTCATAGAATTGTTGCTATTGTTTCTTCATACATAAGTATGTGAAATAGCTGATTAAATTAGAGAAAAAGAAAATCCTGTGTCGCATACAAATAATAGAATTAGCCTGAAGAAGTATAAAACTTTGATACCTGCTATAAATCTTATTAAGAGAATAAATTCTAATAAAAATTGGAAATCCTGGTTTTAGAATGGTATACAATCTCATTTGTTTAAGTTTTGTGCTATTTTGCTAAAGAACTTGAGAACTCGGCTTAAATACTTCATTTGCAATACAACTTTCAAGCAATAGCTGCAAAAAGGGAAACGCAATTTAAAATTTTTTTTTCCATTAAGTTTGTAAAAATATACGCTTAAACCAATTCAAATATAAATAAAACAGGATTATTAATGGCAAAATTTTAAATTTTTTCTTCAATGATTCTTTTTCTGAAAATATAGTTTTTTGGAAGGTGTAATTTGTACAATTATTAGGATAATTCATATTTGTCATGGAAAATCTAAATTTAATGTGTTAGTAGCTTAGGTTAAAGAAGCAAACGTAAAAATTTCTGTTCAGTTTTTTTTAAGAAAATAGTTCTGCTTGTTTAAAATTAATAATTACTATTATAAATCGATTGATCAAACAAATGTTGCTGTTTCTCACGTTAAATGAAGCTGTATGTGAATTTCATAACTGAATAAAAAAAAATTTCCTTCTTGTTTTTAGTTCAGTTATTTTTACTACCTCTGCTTCCATCGTAAAAGAATTAAAGAGTAGTGACTTAAAATTGTCTTGCTGGAGTTTTTAATGAATATAATGTGAAATTACAATAAAAAATATCTTAAACAATTTGTTATAGTCACTATCTAAGTATGTTTAAAAGTGTTGTTTTTACAGCCATTTAACATCTGCTTTTATGCAATTTTGAATGAAATTGAACTATAAAAATCTAAATACATAATTTTAAATTTATGTTTGTAGTTATGAAAATAGAATTTTGGTTAAAACTATCAACAGAGTATAGGAATTTTTTTCCCCTCAATTTCTGTAGCTACCATGCATTATTCAATCGAAAAGTAATGTACAGAATTCAGAAGATTCAAGAAGACTTGTTTTCTTTAATAATGGTGAGGGGGGGGGGAGCTGTCCGGTGATCATAATTAAATGAGCTTCCCAGACATGCTTATGAAGTCATTTTAAATGTTCTTTATTTGCAAGCTCTTTTTTTTTTCTCAAAGAATTTCTTTTGAAAAATTTATTCAATTATCTCAATTGATAATTTTTAGCAATTTTTACTCCTTGAGGTAATGGAAACACAACAACCTGTGCACAATCTATTTTATCTGCAGCATTAGAAACAAATTAAAAACTTTCATTAACGCTTGATGGAAACTCCAACTATATAGCTGTCACTCAGCTCTTCTGTGTTTCTTGCAAATTTTATATTAAAAATGGTTACAAAATTTTTGCTTTGATATTTCATTCTTAATTTAATTTAGTTTGATTTAAATAATTTTTACAAATAGTGTGTAATTTAATTTAAACATAAATGTAAAAAGTGTGACTCGTTAATAGATGTTTTTACGTATAACGGAATTTTAAAAAATTCATCTAACAATTATTATTGAAAAAAAGAATTTTATTTAAATAAAAATGTTTGTGAAAAAGTGCACACTACAACTTAATAACAAGATGCTTAGGATTTTCCTATTATGTTGGCGTTCTTGTTGAGAATGGCAATTACTGTTTTAATTTAATATCTTCCTACATTATGAGTTTTATTAATATTTGCTAAAATCGCAATTTTTTTTATCTGCCAACATATTTCTGAAAGAATGTTTAGAGTTGAGTCTATAAAAAATATTAAACGTTTTACAATTATTTTCTTTTCGTGACAGTAGTATATTTTTGAACTTGTACTTTTTTTTTTTTAATGAGGGGAAGTTATACTCTTATATAATAATTTTTCATTCTCATATATGAATTATCTTGAGGGGAACCCGCAAAAAAGAAGTATTGCTAATTGGGTGAGAAATTTCTGCCCTGAACTATTATTCCCCCTTTGTTCCAGCTGATTTTGGCAGAATAGCCCTAATAACCTTTTTCTTTTAAAATAATTATCAGATTATAACTACTGTCCGGTGATCATAATTGATTTATTTTACTTAATTAAATATTTAGAAAAATCGAGCTTTACTGACTTTTTTCCTTATTGCTGGCTGTTCCCAATAAAAATTTAAAACCTTGTTAGTTATTTTTCATAATTGTCATAAAATGGCTGCGATACTAGTAATCCTTTCAATTCTAAACGAACTTCCCATTAGAGTTCATTAAAATTGTTCTTTTTGGGAATAACATAAGTCCTTAATATAATAAAATTAGGCGATCGCAACGCACGAATACGCCATCTGGGGGGGAAAACCGGTTCCTTCTCCTGTTTTCAGTTGTTAGGAGTGCACTACGATATTTTTCATATTTAAATGTTTAAAAATATTTTTTTTAAATTTCCGTGACACTTTTTTTTAGAAATATGTTGTTTATATTATATATGTTGTTTATATTATATTATAGTTCTCAAATTACTTTGTAAAAGAAAGTACGTTAGTTTCCGTCTTAATTTTCAAATAGATATAGAATTTTTAAGTTAGGAAACTGTATGGAAGATTAAACATAGTTCTGAAAGAAAGCGCCGTGGATATTTTAGAAAATATTTTTGCCAATTAAATACAAAAAATATTATAAAAGGGGGAAATACTGTTGTACGTTCCCATACAACTGTGGAGAGGGTCTAGATATGAAACCGGTCTTCTCCCCAGAAGTATTCAAGCATTGCGATCGAGAATAATTTTTTTTTGTATTCGTTTCAATTTCCTCATTCTTGCCATACCTCTTCGCTTAATCATCTTAAATTAAGAGTTGGTCTTTTGTTAAAGATTAATTATGTATGCATACATATATTTTCCCGATTGCTGAAAACTTCATTACTTTTTTCGAGTTTTGGAGAATAACCCCTCATCAGTTATCTTTTCTAATAAGTTGTAGCAGTTCATTTACGTCGCACTAGAGCTGTACAATGGGCAGGATTAAATTTAAATCATATTTTTAATACTTGCTAAAATTTTCGATGTCGTGATTGGCGATAGTAACGCTCGAATACGCCATGTGGGGAGAGACCGGTTTCATGCCTTTGGCCCTTCTCCCTCCTGCTCCTCCTTTCAGTTGTATAGGAATGTTCTACGATATTTTCCCTTTTTATTCAATAGAAATATTTTTTAAAATTTCCGTGATACTTTTTTTAGAGCTATGTTTAATGTTGTTTTCAGTCATACTTCCTTCATGTGAAGTGTTGCCAGAGGTAGAGAGTTCTGCTTTATGCCATCTGCAACCCATTTCGATCGCCAATAAGATTGGCTCCATGCTTAGAGACCTCACCTTCAAAGATATAATTTAAAATGCTTACAATTTTTACTTGATGCATTATTTTAATGCAGCTTTGAGTTCCTGATCCAAGCTTGAAAAGTTTTAATCGGTTTGAAAATCGCGACAGAAACTAACGTACTATCTAGTCACCACACCATAATGGTAAAATGAAAGCATGCTTAGTGTTGCCCTAGGAAAAAGAGTTCTGCTGTGTGCCACCCCAGGCGTATTTAGCATTTGTACGCCAAGATATCACTGCCATCTATATCCCATTTTGATCGTAAATTTATTCAAGCATGCCAAAATTTTCAGACAAAATTTTCATTGGCTACATGTTGGGCCAATGAACTGTCAGAGAGGCGTGTCAGAAATGCAATCGCAGTTATTTTTTTTAGCAAAGACCTCTGTATTTTAACGGTTATTTTGTAGCTGTTCCGATATGCACTTGTTCTTTTTAAAAATGAAACCTGTTATATAAATAACAGGTATCTCAAATATGGCATAATGAAACAAACAAAAACTTGTGTAAGCTTTAGCTAGTCACAAATGGCTGGAAATTTCTGGCAGAGTTCACATTTGTAAGTTCTATTTATTATTATTCTATGATTAAGCAGCCACTTAAACATTTCAATTTTACTAAACTTTTAACCTTTAATTGTTTTATTACTTTTAAATTTAATATATTTTGTGTTGAATCCTATATTTATTTAGTTTTTCATTTGTTTGATTCTTGAATTTTCAATTTATTAGTTATTACAAGCAAAGTTGTTTTATTAAGCAATCCCAATGTAATTAATTGAGGGTTATTTTAAAAATTTCTATTAGAATGGAGACGCAAATTTATAAATTTGTAAAAATTATAACGATCTTTTTTTTTTTAGAGAGTAGAATTGGATGTCCCTTTGATTGGGCACTGAATATAAGAGCTTTTATTCTAACAAAAATCTTGTATTTTTTCTATCTCTATTTCTTACTTTTAAAAAATTTTACTTTTAAGTCATTTTCCCTCTTTTCTGCAAAAAACATGAGAAATTGCAAAAATAAGAGGTCACCCAATTATAATATTGGACAGATCACGACATCTCTAGTTACTTTAAATATTTAACCAGAGAAACTTCTATTAATCGATAAAGTAAATAAAAATGTATATATATATTAAATTTATGTTTATTTTCTTTTATATTTATCATTCCAAACTGCAAGCTACAAAATCTTTAAATAAGTTAAGTTATTTATGGGCAATTCCGTTGTTACAGATTTAATTTCTTGCATTGTAGACTTGCAGGGGATATTTTTGTATCATGATCTGTTGCGCCAACTACATTCATCAAGGTGCTAAATAGATTTTGAACTTAAAAAATTAAAAAAAAACATGTAGATATTTGCACGGGGATGGTTATGAGTTATATCCTTCGAGTTGGTCCCTTTTTGTGTTTTTGTTTTTAATTTTCTCGCAGGCCTCTGCATGGAAGTTGCAAAGAGTTTGTGATTATTCTTCCACAGATCATGGTACGGAAATCTCTCCTACCAGTTTTCTGGGTGTCATTTATATTTACTCCAATATTTTCTAACATTTATGAGACCAATCTATAAGAGCTGAAGTTAGGTACATAAGGCTTCAGCAGATGCTAGGTACGTAAATATATAGACTGTAAAAGATCGACATTTGTAAGAAAATAGACTGTCTCTATAACAGAGAAATCCGATCCTTCAATACTCCGAACAATGTGGCGTCTTTCACATTTTCCACACTGCGTAGTTTTTGCTAACGTCTGACTATTACATTTATTTGTATGTAAGCATTCTCTTTTCTAAGAGGTGTTGAACATATACCATACTTTATGCTTATTACTATTTATTATATATGTTTATTTTATTGTTTAACTCATGCTTTATTACTATTTATATATTTTAAAATAAAATTGGCATTATTATCATAATTGAAGAATTTTATCCTATTGCTTTTCAGTCAACAATGGCTGCTAGATCGGCAAGATTTGCTACGAGAGCGCCACCATGATCTTCAAATTTTTCCAGAAGAAGAATATCAAAAATTAATGATTTTCTTTGCTAATTGTAAGTGTTTAAAATATGAGTTATATTTTTTCATTTATATGGAGAAAATTATTATTTTATTTATTGTAGTATGAGTTAGGATTAATTCAGTGCGGGTCCGAGGAGTAAGCCGGGTAAGCGACTGTTTAGGGTGCCGAGTAGATGGGGTACCAAAGTGTGATAAGGCTAGATTAAAAGTAAAAGCTTTTTATGATCTTATTTTTTCCCTTTCTAAAAGCTTTTTTTTTTCTCATTTGCTTGTTAAAAATAACAGTTAAAATACACTTATATTCCAGAAATGAAATGTTGAAATATATATAATATTTTGGCAACCAAAAAACCCTACAAAAAGTGTACCATTCCTTGTTTTATCTCTTTTTCATTTGTGCTAATGATATCCGGCCCTGTGATAATTTACGATCTGCAAATACTGATTTTTTAAAAAAAATTCGAGAAAATCCTTTTGTTGAGGGAGGAAATCGACGTGACTTTAGTAATTTTCAGTCTCACTGTATTCTAAGAAATATTTGTTTTGTGATAAGAGGTGCCTTTTCTTTAAAGATGTCTTGAATTTCCTACAGCACTGTGCTTTTTACGAAAGCATACATCCGAAATTTTTATTAATTTCTCAAATTTTAAAGTATATCAGCAATTGCAGATTAAAATTGCTCTTAGATTCATCTTTAAAGTTAACATTGAATTTTGCCTGATAACGCAAGACCACATTATGCTAAACAATCTGTGAAAAAAATGATGAATTGGTGTTGGAGTTCTCCAATCACCCACCATATTTGCTTGACATTGCACCATCAGATCATTATAATTCTGATTGATACGATATTTTCTGCGTGACCAAGTTTGAAAATGTGGATTATTTTCAAAAGGCCTTCATATATTTTGCTCACAAAGCAATTGGTTTTTAAGATTTTAGCATTTAAATTTTCTATGTTAAATGTCAAAAGGTTTCTGATGACTTGGATAATGCAAAATTAAAGCCTGTTAACTCTTTCTTGAATTAAATGTCAAAAACGACACTATGTTTCGGTCTGATTGATATTTTGCACGCTGTTTTGTTTTACTATTTTCTTAGTAAAAAAATTATAAAAATTTTGCAAAGTGAAACACCTAACTTCTTGATTAAAAGTTCCATTCACCTCAAAAAATTAAAAATTGGAAATAACAGTTGACTTGTTTCGAACACTCTTATAACGCTGTAAATATTCACCCAGAAAATAAGAGCCTATTTTTGAGCGTTCGAAACATGTCAATTGTTATTTAAAATTTTTAATTTTTTGAAGCAACTAAAGTTTGTAATTAAGTAATATTTTACCTCTTAAGTTTTTGGGATTATTTATTTAACTAACTAACTAAATAAATTAATAATGAAATTAATTTCTTTCAATTTCTATGAAGTTTGTTGGAAGAGTATAACACATAGTTCTTATAAATAAATTTACTTTAGTACTTTACATAGTACTAAACATAGTACTTTAAATTTGCATAATGAAATGAAACTCAAATAATGTCCTGACCAATATTCAAACATTTGAAGCAAATATATGTAAATTATATTAACGATGGTGGGAAGTAAAAATATATTTTTTGAATTACTCACACACCAAGATATTGTTTAATAAGCTTTTTCCTGCAATATGTTTTAGCAGTATGCTTCAATCATTTCTAGAAGGATTACAATACATTATTTATTTTTAAGCAAAGGTTATTGAATTTACTTTTGAAAACTTTAGTTCTATTTGCTGTAAATTATTTTTCTACAAAAATGTTTCTAAAAAAATTAAGTTATATAAAGTATCTTTCAAAATATGCCTTTTATTTTAGTCATTCAAGCAATTGGAGAACAACTAAAAGTTAAGCAACAAGTTATTGCAACTGCTACTGTCTATTTTAAGAGATTTTATGTCAGGTAAAAAAACAAAATGTTTATTTGCATGTATGTGTACAGTGTGAACAAAAGGACTACCATGAATAACTTTGGATCTAATGATTAGATCTTCACGTTCTAGGACTCAATCTTAATGGTTTGAGGGAGTGACCTCAAATGTGTTAATTAGTGCCGACGAAATTTTTAGCTGAGAAATCAGACATAAAAACGTACTTTCTGTTTTTTTGCAACCCCTTTAGATTTTTGACCCCCAAAATATAAGGGGTAGTCGCAATCTGGAAAATATGGTCTTAATAGTTTTTACAGCAAAGAGCACCGAAGTTTGAACCTCTTAATGCTAATTTTACTTTTTGCATATTTCGTTATATTTTGAAAACTTTTTAAGCAAATCAAAAACATTTTGCACACTATTATAAAATTCAATTATCCATAGATAATTTCATGCAAAAAAGAACTTTTATGTATTATTTTTTATTGTTATATTTAATAATGGTTGAAAAAATTTTGAATTGCGAGGTATGAAATTTTTTTGCATCATTTTAAAGATGGTAATTTTTCATGGCAAAATTTGCGCAAAATTGGTTAATAGTTCCTGAGAAATTGAATTTCGAAAAAGTCAAATATTTAAATCACTTTTCTGTATAATTATACCCCTGACTCAAAATAGTCCTGGAAAAATGTTTTTTTTTTACAGTTATTTGTAATTTCCCAGACCATAATAAAAATTAGCAAAAAAAATTCTGCATTCATTCTAGTAATCTGCATCTCAAAAATATCTTTCATTAGAAATTTTTGAATTTTTATTCGGAAGCTAAAAGTTTAAAGTGTGTACTGTGTGATGTTTGAGAATTTTCTTGATTCCTGTATCAAAAAACTCTTTTTGATTTTTTTGGAAGGAAAAAAATATTGTGAAAAAGTAACAGTTTTAAGAGAATCAATTTCTGCCTCAAAATCACTATTCATTGTTTAAGAAAAATCAACAATTTCATTACTTACAGATAGACAGCCTGTCATCAAATGTGATGTAATCATTATTGCTATTTTTTTCTGTCTCTGACAAGTAAATACTGTTGTCATTTAAAAAGCATTTTAATATTTTTCTAACACAAACTAGCAATATTTTTGGCTGTTGTAATAATTTGTTAATAGGATTTTACTATTCATTAAATAGAGGATTTTGCCTTTATTCTATTTGAAGAAAAATTTGTTAAATCATAAAATTTGTTTCTTGGGCTAGTTAAATCTTGTCCCTATTGTTATAGTAGGTGTAAATACTTAAGTTAGAAGGCTTTTTGAAATTAAAACCTACTGTAAGACGTATGATTACATCAGAGTTCTCCCTAGGAATAAAAAAAGGCAGGGCGCTTTCTCCCTGAAAAGGGTGCTTTGAGTTTTGAAAGCGCACTCACGTAACATTGTAAATATTTATCCAAATGTGTTATATTATGTAATATATGACTTTTAATTTTTAAATTACCTTCTCATACTATTTTATGAGTGTATTTCAAAATGTTCTCTCTCTTTATCAAAAAATGATTGAAATTTGTAGTTTATAAAAACAATTAAAGGCATGCTAAAAAGCTATCTCTGTTCATTATTTTTCTCCCAAAAAAATAAACTAACAAAAAAAAAATTTATTAATTGATAAATTTGAAGCTTTTGTCTATAATTTAAACTAAAAATTATGAGAAAATGCATATTTAGAGGTGCATTTTTTTAAAGGGTATTTATTTGAAAAATAGTTTTAAAATCAATTGAAAAGTTTATAAATATCCTCTCCTCCCATAAAAAGATGCTTATAAAAATGTAAACAGTTGAGAATAATCCTTTCAAACTAAACATTTGTAATGGTAATCAGAATTACACCTAAACAGATAATTTATCCAATGTGTTATTATTTAATCAGTGAATCAATTTTTTTTTCAATTGGAGTATGAATAAAAAGTCAGTGTTTTTAAGAGATGTTAGCTTACTTTTTACAAAAAGGGAAAAGAGGGTACATTTATCGGGATCAAAGGATAAGCAAGGCAGGCTGCCCTTCAAAAAATGCTTAGAGAGAACACTGATTATGTTATACTTAAATTACTATATTTCTCAGGGTGCATAGCGCTTGTAAAAAGTACTTAAAGGTGCTTTTTGGAAGATTTCATTTTTAAAAGCTTTTAAAGGTGCTTTTTTCAGCTGGCGTTTTTAAAAAGTGCTTTTTTTTCAAAATTTTTTTTTTCTTTCCGTGATATCTGTCGGATCCCCTGCATTTCACGAAAAATGGGGTGTTTGCTACGTAATCATTCACACTGACTTCATGTCGTACCCACATTATGACTTGCGCACACTCGAAACTAAAACCCGAGTGCTCCAATTCGGATAGAGTCACATCCTTATTAAATGTTTTTCTTTTTAATTTATAATTTTATTCTTGTTTATTTTACTTCTAACACTTTTTTGATGTAGGGGGTAAGGGTACTTTTGTTCTGAGTTCAGAGTCAAGTTGAATTCACTCGGTGATGTGGGAAAGTACTGATTGTTTCGGTTTACGTCCGTTTCTTTTTGAGTTTTTTTTTTTTTAATGCTAAAACTATTCATAAAAAGTTTTTGTTTTTCATTAATATCATTGATTCAATATAAATTTTTTGAGTGCTTGAAAATTTTTTAAAAAGTGCTTATTTTTGATTCAAAGATTTGGCTACGCACCCTGTTTCTGTTATCATATACTAAAATATATATTTTTATGTTTTTAGAAATAGCTTGAAGTGTATTGATCCATTGCTCATGGCTCCTACTTGTATATTTTTAGCTTCTAAAGTAGAAGTAAGTATGCATAATTTTAATATATTGAAATGCTTTATTATTCATTATGTTATGAAAACTAGTTCAGTTTCATTAAAAAAAAATGCTTATATTACCTTATGTTTGTTTTAATTTAGGAATATGGTGTTATTTCAAATAGTCGTCTGATTTCTACTTGCCAAACTCTCGGTGAGATACATAAGTTTCAATCCCGTCTTTGTCATGCTATTGTAAAAGTTTCTTTTTCTGTGATTGTTGTTATATTAATATTTTTTCATTTTTTTTAGTAAAGAACAAATTTGCCTATGCTTATCCCCAAGAGTTTCCTTATAGAATGACTCATGTTTTAGAGTGTGAATTTTATTTACTTGAAATGATGGTGAGTATAAATTTTATGCCAATTTAACTATCACTTTTTTGCATTCTTTCTTTCGGCCAGTATAATTGGTGTACTAGAATAACAGATGTTAGCATGTTATTGGGACACAAGACTTCAAAATCTTAAAATTTTTGAAAATGAAATTTTTTTGTTGTTAGAAATATGAAGAAAATCAATTTTAATCATGTGGTGTCTGAATTTTTTTGATACGATAATTTCTCAACAATTTTAAAGCTATTTTGCTAAAAAGAGGGCGTGGTCCTTTTGAAGTTTTGAGAGCTATCAAGTTTGTTTACGTTGCAGCTATCAAGTACATTTTAATTTTTTTTTCTGTTTAATTTAAATATTTCTATCAAAAATATTTCAATTTGTATATTGTAACAATGTTTGACCCTGGACATGATTGTCTTGCTGCTTATCTGAACCACGTTGTTATTTTTAATGAGGCTGCCTGTCACCTGTGTGACAAGAGTGAGCCCATTGAGAAACATCACCTTCATGCCTGTGCACTGATACTTCCAGATATTGAGAAGCTAGAAGATTTTTAGGGCAATAGCCTTCTATCTCTTGGAACTTTTTGTTTTTCTTTCCTCTGTTTTTGTCCTGTACTTTGCTCATATGCCCCAGCCATTGGAAATAAAGAAAAAAAAATTTTTTTTTTGACAGCATCATATTAACTTTAAGCTTATTTTTGTTTACATTTTCGCATTTGATTATGTTTATTTTTTTGCGATGTTTGCTATCCTTTTCGAACTTGTATAAAATATTTTTTTTCTTTTCTTTTTTTTCTCTTCAGTTTCATTATGCAGTGACCTCTCACCTATACATCACCTCTTTTATGCACCTTTTTCATTTATATGTCGATTTTTATAGGTCCCAGTACATTAGATAGGAAAATAATGATAAACATCCTTCGTTTATGTGTCGCTCTAAAAATAAATTTTTCAATTTTGCGCCGAAATTTTAGGCTAACATTTAAATTTTTTAATCCCTTAAATATTTTTTCTTTTTTAAACAAATATGTTTTAAATTAAAAATGAAGCAAATAAGCTATCCTTGTTACAGATAAAAAGAAATATATGTTGTTAGATCCTATTGAATTTGCTTCCCCCTGTGACCTTTTAATTTTTGCTGTTTCTGGAAAGACATTCTTTCTAGAATTTTGAATAGGGTTAAAAAGTTTTCATTGAATTATGGATTAAATTAATTCGTGATGGCATAAATCAATGTCTTGCCCCTCTAAAAAGAAACTTTGCTATTGAAAAAGCAAGGATGAGATAAAATTAGTCTTCTAATGTTTCTACTTCAATTGTTACCACTGACATCAATGCTCTAAATAAGTCTAGAACTCAGAAAAAACTCAAACCATTTTTTGATGTAATGTCAAATATTGATGCATTTTCATTCAGCATAAAGAAAAGGTTAATTAAATTTATCTTTATTCTTACTTTTAAATTATAAATTTCCATTGGCTGTTTATAAAGTAATTTACTATTCAATAAACATATTCCAATTATACCCATTTTAAAGTTTATTTAAATACAAATAAGCTTTTAAAACTATTTAAATCTGTAGTTCAGGTTCTATGAATCATGAAGGAGGACTTGTTCTGTCAAGAATAATTCAGAATAAATAAATTTTTTTTGTTTCCTCATCTAAATAATTTATTCGTCATTTAAAATTTAACTGAGAAATCAGGTCTTAGTCTATAAATTCTTGAAGATGATGAGTTTGAATAAAAATTATGATTTTAGGGATTCATTGATTAGTTTGTTATAATTATTTAACAATTGTAATCATTTTAAATTAAAAATATTAAATACTTTAATTATAAAATTAATTTTAAATCAAAGTTTGAAAATTGGAAAGTGTAAAATTTTTTTAAAATTTAAATAAAAGTAATTCCAAATTGTTTTTCCTTCAAAAATTCTGTTTTGCCATCTTTGAAAAATGTCATTGCCATCTTTTTCATGTGATGTGATAAATCTCTGGTTATTAAATTTTAATCTTAATTTTGGAATTTTATTTCAAAAATTAAAGTTTTTTTTTCTCATGTAAGTGTTAATGAAGATGGATTAAGTGTTAATCAAGAAGTGTTAATCACAATGGATTTAGCTTGCAAATTATGGTTATTAAACATTTATTTCTAACTGTACTAATATTTAATAAAAGTTTTCTTAAAAACCTTTAGAAATTTCAATTGCTTTGTGTTTGAAATTTTTTTTTTCAAATGAATTTTAAATATAGTAAATTACAAACTATAAATTTTTGGAAATTGAAAAATGTGTATGATGCAATGTTTGTTACATTTTAATGAAGTTATGTGAGTGAAACAGTACTAGTAAATTAAAAACTTAAAATTCATATTAAATGCTATAAATTTTTTTTTAATATGATTATTTTGTTGTATAATTTGTTTTTTCTTCCTAAGCATTGTAACTAATATTTTCATCAATACTTTATTAAATAAAATCAAGAAGTGTTGTCTTTTTTGAAAATAATTTATTTATGCTTTTCATGGGAAAATAAATTAAATAAATAAATAATTAATTTATTTTAACTGTTTTCCAAGAATCTATATTTTTCAGCTCTGGAATGACATCACCCCATAACCATTTATAAATACTATTTTTGGGATTAGTGGCTTTTAAAAAAAATAAATAAATAAACGAAATCTAAATCTAAAATGGTATGAGACCAAAAAATAGATCATTTTTTAATTTATTATTTCATTTAATATTTTTTATTTTTTTTATCAAGCATTTTATGTTTATTGAAGCTGTAATTTTCACATATTGTTAAAAAATTATTTTGTAAATTTTTTGCATTTTTTAATTGGGAGTAAAATTAATACTTCAGTATGAAATTTTATTAGGACTGCTGTCTAGTGTTATACCATCCATACAGGCCTCTAGTGTATTATGTAAAAGATATCAAAAAGGAAGAAGCTCTTTTACCTATGGCATGGTAAGAATATGACCATTATTCTTTCTTTTCTATCTTATTTAATCTTTTTAACTCTAAGAAATTTAACACCAAAAACAAACAAATTTTTTACGGCAATAATATCACATGGTTTAATTTTGTTTTATATTAAGTTATTTTTTATAAATAAAAAATTTTTTATGTATAAAAAAAAGCTTATACTATGTATCTCAAACTTTACTATTTTTATTTATGTATATTTATTATATGTGCATTTTGTTTGGTAACTTGTACAAACCTAAAATTTTATTTTTATTTATGTTTTGATGTAATTTGGCTGGTTTTGGTTCTTGTTCCATGAAACTCTGCTGTTAATTAAATTTTAAATCACTTTAATATTTTTATAAATGACTACATTAATATTTAGTTTAATCTAACAATAAGGTGATAGAATTTTTGTATTCAGTTAGAAAATATAGTTAAATAGTTTTTTTAAACAATGAACTTTTAAATAAATTGTTACAGTTATGTATAAAAATGAAAACTAGACATTTGTTTGAAATTTAGAACAATTTAAAGAGGTATATATTGAAACACTCATAAGAGAGGTAAATATTGTAACACTTATAAGAGACTAGAATATTGGATATACATACTCGTCAAGTTTATAGTATGACATTTGCATGCAAATTACAGAAATAACGAATTAAATGTTTTAGTTGCAAGTTGAAAAGCTGTTGCAGCAGTAGCATATAATTCATTCAGAAAATGGAAGACCTTTCCTTATATGAATGAAAAAGATTTTTAAACATTCAAAATGTAGAATTTTTAATCTAACAAGTCATTGTATATAATAATAATCAAAATAGTTCGTTCATTACAGATATGATAGGTTTCTAAGATTCTTTTTTGTTTAACTTCTAGGAAAGTGATAAACGACAGCTTACGAACTGATGTTTGTCTTCTTTATCCTCCTCATCAAATTGCATTAGGTATATATAAAAGTTACATGAAGTATAAGACTATTTTTATGTAATCAATATAGTTTAGTTGTTTTTTTCTTGCACTTTTTTCAACTTTATACTTACAGACTTTAAAAAAATTGTTTTTAACTAATTACAATTTTGAATTTCATAAAATAATTTTATTTTATTTTTTTTTCTCAATGTTTTTAGTAGCATATAAATTGAAAATCTTGAACAGTATTTACTTTTCTATTTTGAAATTTATTAATTTCTTTAGTATTTGTATATATCTTTATTTTATATATTTGTTATATCTTTCTTTAGTATTTTAGCATTGTGTTTAAATTTATAGAATACTTTTTTGACTCATTTTTGTTCAGAGTTCTAAGTTAGGTAATACATTCTTTCAAGACCTATAGGGCCACTTTTATGAGTAGTAATGATGTGTCAAGAATAATAGTTCAATTATTTCTAAATAGTTTGCAAAAGAAAAACTGAAATATATTTTACATTTAAAAAAAAAAAATCTAAGTTTTTTAACCGTCTAAATGTATTTACCATCGATAATATATTACCATGCAAGCTTTGTTTACCATATTTTAAAGTGAGATTTCTCTTTTATGTATGGTAAAAACTAAATTCCTGATTTTTTAAAATAATTCATTATATCCCTGTACATTTCATTCATTCATGATCTCTTTATTTATTTATTTTTTGTAACATCAATGCAATATGGAGACAAATCCTGATTTTTCCACCCAATTATAAACTTATTTTGATTTGAAAGGCAAAGTCTTGAATTAACTTTAGCTCTGATTACTAATCTTCTTATAATATAATTGAATTAGTCTTATTGTTAAATAGAATGTAGCTTATAGAATATTGATTAATGTTCACTGAATATTACTACAGAGAATTATCTAAAATGCAGTGGAAATGTAGCATCTCAATTGCAACAGGTTTCATAATTTGCTGAATTCATCCAGTGGTTTAATTTTTTGTTGTTGCTTGAAACTTTGATCTTAGAGTTAAATAAAATGACTACTATTTTTGATACTTGAAACTGTGGAGTCAGAAATGACTATTATTTTTGTTTACTTTATAGCTTGTTTACATATGGCCTGTGTTATTCTTGGAAAGGATTGTAAGCAATGGTTTGCTGAACTGAATGTAGACATGGAAAAGGTATTGAATGTATATATATATATATTTGATTATTTAGTACTATGGTACCATGGTTTGGTAATAGAGCTTAGCAAATAATGTTATGAGTTAAAAATAATTTTTTTTATACCTCAGTCATTCCTTGACCCTTTTAATATGCAGTATAAAAATTTCCTATAAAAATAGATGCAGTTAGCATTTAAAATTATTTTTCTTACTTACTATTAATTAACTTAGAAATAAGACATATATAAAATCTTTACAATTAAAATAAAAATATAAATGTGTGTTTGCACAATGAAAATATAAATGTGTGTTTGTACAATGAAAGTATAAATGTGTGTTTTATATTTTCATTTTTATTTTAATTGTAAAGATTTTATATATGTCTTATTTCTATTTTATGTAAAACAAATTTGGTTTCAGCTGCCTTGTGCGCTTTTCCAATTTGTTTCAATGTGTTTATTTACCTCTTATGTATCGAAATTGACTTCGTAAATTGAATTGATTTTATGATTAGATATTAGTTAACTTACTAAGTTACAAATTTAGTTTTTTATTTATCAAACAAGCAATCAAAAAAAAAAAATTTTTTTTTTTTCATAAAATAAATTTATTTAAAATTGCAGTTATTTTAGTATTATTTTATGTTTGAGCAAATGTTGTGTGGACACCAAATTTTATTACAGCCCAACCTTGATCCATTGTTCCTGCATTTAATTTTTTTATCATATCTATCATACTTTTTTAATGGTCCCTCTAAATATTAATAATAACAATTTGGATCGTTTTTGAAACTAGCAGATTTCCTTGTCTGTTGTTCAAAAATTATACCACTATATATTAAAAGACAATCTGTATTTAAAAAAAAAACAGTTACTTCAGATGCTAATGATGAAAATGTGGATTTGTTACAGGTTGTGTAAAAAGTCTAAAATAACAGGTTTTATGATGATTTTGTATCAGTTGAAGAAAATGTTGAAACTTGTGTTCTTGTTGGTTCAAGAAATGGTTGTAAAAGCTGAAGAAGTGCAAAGTGATATCCACGAAGACTGAATTTAACGCAATCAATTAGAGCAAATATTAACAGAAGGCTTTAAAACAATGAGGGATTTCTTGCATTGACAGGAACTTAAAAAAAAAAAAAAAAAAACNAAAAAAAAAAAAAAAAAAAAAAAAAAAAAAAAAAATTAAAAGCAATCAGTATCTAAGTTCCAAGCTTTTTAAATAACTTAATATACTTATTAATATTTCTTTTGCATTGTAAATATTTTTGCAGAAACTGCATAATTCTTTTAATTAAAATGTTTATATATATTGTAAGTTTACTACTTAAAAATTGTTATTTTAAGTTGACTTGTATTTCTCGTTTTTCTGTATCTATCAATGGATGGTTCCTAGAGAAACAATCGATCAAGGTTCTACCGTATTTTAAAAAGTGTACAAATATTAAGAAAATTCAATATTTGTAGTTTATAAATTTGTATTTTTTCTTCGTTTCTTAAAAATTTACAAAATATATTATTAATCATCATCATCTTCAACAATTATCAATTCACTTCTGCGTAAAAGGTTTCTCCAAACTTTTTAGAAAAATTTAATCAGTTGCTGAATTAATTTTATTAGATTATCTTGTTTGTGGTCATTTCTTAATCATATGAGACCATGAGAATAATTGTTGAAAAGGTTTTAAATCTAACAATCATCTGCTTTTTGAACTATTTGGTGAACCCACTGCTATTTTAAGTGTCTTTTTCTTTCATATTTAAGTTTTTTGTTTGCTGTCTATATTTATATTAATAATCTAAGTGTTCATTTATTAATTTTATGTTTTTTAATATTAAATATATTATGTTCCACGCATATATATGTAGCTTGTATATACAAATTGCAATCAAACTTTAAAAATTGTGCAATGAGTACCTCTGACTTTATAAATATGTAATAATTTATTTTTATATTATAAAAAAGCTAAATAATGAAGCATTTTTTACATTTAATTAATTCTATTTATTGCTTAAACCACAGTTGTTTATTTCCCATTTTACATAATGGATAAGAATAAATTTTATTTTATACAATTTGATTTCGTTTCAGATTCTTGAAATTACGAGACAGATTCTTTCTCTTTATGATATGTGGAAGCAGTTTGATGAAAAGAAGGAAGTACCTGCTCTTCTTACTAAAATTCCCAAACCAAAGATACAGCCTACCAATGTTACCAGGTATTAATGTTTTTTGAAATGCCAAATGTGTTGAAAATCTATAGAAATAATTTTTCTTTCGTTGGATTTATGTTTAGTGGTAGTATATATTTTAGTGTTTGTATGACAGTGCTTTTCTGATGAAACTTCATTATAGGTTTTTTTTTCCGATGAATTATTTAAACATTAATTTTAAAAATATTCAGTATTTTTAAAAACATGTTTTTTTAATTATGAAACTATTTTAAGTTTGTTAGCTGCATGAGAATTGACTTTTATTCTATCTTTTTTTTTATATCTTGTATACAAGTTACGGTAGAACTAGTACGAGGAATTTATTGAAACTACTGAATTATTTTAATTTTAAAATAAATATTTGATAACTTTTTGCTTAAAACAGTAATAAAAAATAGTTTATAATTTAATCGTTAGTATATTCCTTTTATTAGTTTACAATAGTGCAGCAAAAGTACAAAAATGCTTAACAGTTGTTATTAAAATGATTTTCTTCAAAATTAAAGGTGCAAAAATGAAACTTGGAGTTTCTTTACTGAACAGCTTACTATGAGTGTTCTATTGGGCGACAAAGTAAAATTGCAACAGTGGAATAAGGAATAGAACTAATAGACGTTTCCAGGGTGGCCACCCACCTGGAAAACCTTGAAAACCTGGAATTATCAGGGAATTTTTTTATACTGGAAGAAACCTGGAAATATCAGGGAAATTTGGATAAAAACCTGGAAAAATCAGGGAATTTTAAAGAAAAGATGGAAATTTTTTCTTTGATAATTTTTTTAATTTCACTAATTTAAATTATTTACTAATTTTCTTAATTTAAATTATTTCATCCATTATATCCACTTTTTTTAACGGAAATGTATCGCCAAACAGTTGAAATATCATCAATTTAGCTATACTTTGCTTGCATCAAAATTTGCTCCATTACAGCTGTTAAACTAGAATGCCACATAAAATTCTCCTACTGTTGCTAAACGAATGCAGAAACCTTTGACCGCTATGGGACTGTGCAATTTAGGAAAGATTCTGGTGTAGGTGGAAAAAGATTTAGGATATTAGCTTCTATTTTTAAATACTGTCTTTGGGCTGAATCCATTTATGGCTCAAGTTTGTTCCGATGCTTTGGTGGTAATTTTTTTTTCTATTTTGACAAAATGTTTTTGTATTTTTAACTTTATAAAATTCTCCAAAAATTAGTTGGTTATAATTTGATAATAGATTTTATATTGCACTCTTTTTCTGAAATTTTTTCTCCTCCCATTCAAGGAAATCTGTGAATTATTTTTTTTCAGCAAGCCAACCAATCACACATTTTTTTACCATCGCTGACAGCAATGTTTGTCGATAAATCGTTACAATTGTTGCATTAATGCTAATTTTTTCTATTTCATTTTAACCTTTTATAACATATTTTTAAAGAATGGTTTTTTTAAGAACCAGCTATATATTAATATTTAATTTTACTCTTTTGTTGGTCAATATATGATTTTTGATTCAAAATTTTGTACCAAAACATTTGAAAAATAAATAAAAAATCTTGGCAAATTGTCAAAATAACATTTTGAATAAAATATTTTATAATATGGACACTTTTCTTGTACACATCCTACACTTAATAAGAAAAAAGAAACAAGAACCTGGAAATTTTAAGATTTTTATCTGGAAAACCTGGAAAAATCAGGGAAATTTGAAATCTGATTTGAGTGGCCACCCTGGTTTCTGTCGTGATAAAAGAAGTACTCTGGTAGTACAGTGGGTAAAGGCATCACTAACTCTGCTGGAGATAGTGAATTTGACCTTTACAGCTGACTAAACAACTAGTTTGTATACAGCAGCAAAGTGCACGCTAATCTGTTGTGTTGGTTGTGGTGTGGAAGTTTGGAAAGAGTAACAGCTTAGGTGGAGGCCATGTTGTCCGATTGGGATAAAAATTTTGTAGCGTTCCTTCCATGATTGTTAAAAGATAAGAGCCCGTAAAACGGGATTAGGTGTTAGGCCATGGTTGAGTGGTGTGTGTTGTTAAAAAGAAATGATTGCTGAAATGAGGGTCATACTAAAGAGCCTAGACTTTATCTATACTATATCCATTTTTATAAACATTATTTTAGCATTATTCTGACATTAGTGACCATTTCTATTCATTGTTACCAACATGAACAGCTAATTCAGATTGGATTTGCAGCTATTAAAGTACAATTCGGTCGTGTTATGATTTTGAACCCAATTCATAAAAAACGGAACTCTTGGATCAATCATCGGGACGAACTGGAGACTTTTTAATGATGCATTTAACGGAGAGCAAAACCACAAAAACCTACCATGCTTTGTCTGATGACAAGGGAAGAAAATCCACTATCCTTCATTAGGATTTGATGGGATGTGAGCGTAATATTTGCCAAGCTATCCTGGTCTGAGCAAGTTGAACTTAATAAGTACCTTAATAGTTTTTTTTGTTCAAGGTGGTGAAACATTATAAATGAGTTTTAATGAAAGAGGATGTTCATAGCAGTTGTGCTACTCTCAAATAAAGAAAGCTATTGAACTAGTGACATTTGAAGCTAAAAGTAAACAAAATGCTCCCAGTTCTACTCACTAGGAGAGAAATTTATTTTTTAAATCTTAATTGGGAAAAGAAATCACGATATAAATGTTGATTCAGTTTGTTAGGTTTTTAGCAATAAAAATATAAATAACATACCCTTTATCCCTGTGGTAAAGATAAAAAAAAATCATAAAAAAGTTGTAGCTAAAAATGAGAAGTTTATTTACTGTATACCTATTACCAATATATGAAAGAAATTCTTTTTGAAGAAAATTGTTGAATTGATAGGTTTCTAAAATTTATCAAATTATTTCCTTTCTCTGATTAATCATAATAATCTTCTAATCCAGAGTTTTTCTTATATATAT